ATCGATAAAACCAACATATCGATCGTTAATGATACTGGTTGATCGTTAGGAGTTATTGAATGATCGTTTCAGCCCTAATTTTTCAACTGATGATCATCACCGTTGACGATAAGGCTTGAAAGTACACAGGTGAAACTGAAATCTTTCAAAATGTTCTTCAAGCTAGAGCTTTGAGTTTGAAGTGTGTCCTTCTTCTTAGTACTAAAGCCCCATTTTGGCCGGATTGAGTCCCAAAACCCACTTTAAACTTGACAAATATGGGTTTGGGATCTGCTTTTCCATATACTAGTATTACCTTGCCATGACATACCTGTAGCAAGTTTTGTAAAACCTGGCTGAATTCATAATTCAATAATCACAGGTCACACAATGCAGGATGTACTGCTGTCTATGTTGTGTTCACATCTACAAAATATACGCGAGCAACACCAAAAGGTTAGGGCACCATTTTCCAGTGAACGGACTGCACAACCCGACAAGGATCAAGCACCCACTTACCGACTTCAATGGCAAATGATGTAATGCCGGTCAGGTCCCTGCCGGCGTGTGAGGATATCCCCGTTCGTCCGTACACTTTCAAAGCGAACGACACCGACGCCACTCTGCTGTTGACGGCGGCAACGAGAAAGTCGGCGCGGTTCAAGACCTCGGTCCTCGTGCCGGAGAACATCAGCATCTCGGGGCCGGTGTACATGGCGCCTGCAGACCGACAGAGAAAAAATACCACCAAGTCAAAAAGTGCACAGGCAGAGTTCAGACAGTGTTGTTTGCTGTGTCTGCACGTGGAAGGAGTTCAGACAGTGTTGTTTGCTGTGTCTGCACGTGGAAGGAGTTCAGACAGTGTTGTTTGCTGTGTCTGCACGTGGAAGGAGTTCAGACAGTGTTGTTTGCTGTGTCTGCACGTGGAAGGAGTTCAGACAGTGTTGTTTGCTGTGTCTGCACGTGGAAGGAGTTCAGACAGTGTTGTTTGCTGTGTCTGCACGTGGAAGGAGTTCAGACAGTGTTGTTTGCTGTGTCTGCACGTGGAAGGAGTTCGGCCATCAGCGAGCCTAGAAGAAAAAAGCCATCAAATTCTAGCAAGAGTACATAACCCCCCAGGGTGTGCAACTCGACTATGGGTGCTGTCCCGACAGAATTTCAAGTTGACGTCATTTTGATGATGCAATGCGCACTGTACACGGATTATCAGACGAATCCGGAACCTGTGGTTGACCGAAGCCGATCGATCCTGTACAAATTATTGCAAAGAAAAACGTGTGATGCGTTGACACCCGTACACATGTTGTAAATCACTGCTGCAAGGAGCATTGCGTCATAAATAATGACGTCAACTTGAAATTCTGTCGGGACAGCAGGGTATGTGGGAGTTGCACACTCTGGGGGGTTATGTACTCTTGATTCTAGCCATCTCTTGGTTTCATTTTTTCATTTAATAATTATTGTTTTATACATAGTTATGGCCGAACAGATAGTTATGGCCGAACAGTTGATTGAGAGAACTATTGTTACTTGCAGTGAAGAGACCACTTGGATTGAAGAGACCACTTGGATTGAAGAGACCACTTGGATTGAAGAGACCACTTGGATTGAAGAGACCACTTGGATTGAAGAGACCACTTGGATTGAAGAGACCACTTGGATTGAAGAGACCACTTGGATTGAAGAGACCACTTGGATTGAAGAGACCACTTGAATTGAAGAGACCACTTGGATTGAAGATGGTTTGTGTAAGGTTCTCCATGGTTATGAGTGCTGAGTTAATTTTCTTCATTGCTATTTCACGGCTATTGTCTCCTCGTCGGTTATAAAATTATGGATATGTTATACAGCAGTCCTCCTGCTATGCTACCTACCATGTGTATAGAGAGATCCGACGCGTTGCCCTGGGCGCTGGGTGCGCACGCCGATGCGCGTGGAGGCAAAGTACGGGTACGGACGCGCTGCGAAGAACCTGCTCAGCTGACCACGGTCGGCACAGACCTGCAGCTGTGCCGAGTCGTTGGAGTACATGTTCAAGTACAGATGGTACCGGCCGTACGTAATCAGGGAGTCGTCACCTACGTCATAGCAACATATCTGCAGAATGGGAGGAAGAACATAGCCCGCTCATACGCATTCACATAATATAATTATTTTGGTATGGACGGATCAATCAAAAACTACTGCCACCGGTGCTGAGTGTGAATACAACAACAAACGTGCTCACTGTGCGTACACTCTACCTTACCAGGTGTACGTCGGTGTCACCCGAATCAGACGGCATGATAGTTGCGGTGCGATAGCAGACGGTGGTGTTTGACTGCGCGCTGCCCAGGTGATCGACGGCGCTGAACAGGAACGAGCTGGCGGCCATCTTGTTGTCATAGGGACACGACGGCACGTCTTCGCGAGAGGCGACCGCGAACGGCGACGGCGGCACGGAGCACGTCGTCGCCGATGGCAACGGTGGCAGTGGGGTTGCCATTAGCGATGATGTGGCACATGGCGGAGTTAGAGGGAATGTGTAGGTGGCACCGGCGTTCAGTTCTCGTAGCAGGTCGGTTGCCGAGAGACCCGACAGGTTGCGGTGCGCCGTCCAGGCGCCGATCACGGGTAGCTGCGGCTGGGTACCGACAAACGTGGTGGCATGTGGCGGGTAATAGAGCGTGGCGTGGGACTCGCAGCCGTCCGTCAGTATCGACACCTGAAAGCTGTTACGCTGCGGGACAGGACACATTGATCACGGGACAACAACCGCAAAAACCAATCAGAGGTCTTCTAAATGTTAGGTGGGCACATTATAGAGAAAATCACCGAAACTACTAGGGAACTGTGTCATTCCGACCAGAAGAGTGTAGTTTGGAGGACATTACACGTAATAATGTACATCCAGGAGATGGCAAGTGCACCACAGAAACATGTGCTGTGTGTGTGTGTGCGCGCACGCGCGTGCGTGCATGCGTGTGTGTGTGTGTGTGTGTGTGTGTGTGTGTGTGTGTGTGTGCGCGCGCGTGTGTGTGTGTGTATGTATGTGTGCAGGGAATAATTTAACCGGTATCGCATCGCAGTTTGCTATGCAATTCTTCTGAGGTGCGAAGTAACTTCAGAAATATGTTGCAGAAAACTGCGATGCACGTTGATTTTCAACTTTACCCTATGATGCACTGTGTACATGCCAGGTGTGTCTCTTAGGGATGAAATAGATGCACAAAACTTCGAAAGTGCTGGGCTTTGCATCCTGGCACCAGGCTAGGTCTGCAACTAAGGCCACATTTTATTTTTTCTATGTTTCTCGTCACCGCCCGCGTAGGTTTTCAGAAATTTCGGAAGAAAAAAAAGAGTTCATACTTGTACATGTGTGTACGCTGCACATGCTGCAGCAGCTCAGTAGATGCGTCAATCAAAATCATAACCGTTTGCACCACAGCAGCAAAGGAGCGCTCCCCGTCCGTTCTCTGCGATGAAGGCTGCCGAAACGAAGCTTTCAGTCGTTCACTGCCTGAGCCTCGCGGGTCCCAGAAATACCGTATGTCGGACGTTTTCCGTGGCAACTGGCGTCTGTGGAACGATTCCGTGGGCAGAAAATCCAAGCAATAGACGCATGGCGAGGAAAAGTTGAGCAGCGTGGAGACAAGAGTTTGATAAGAGGACACAAGAACGTTGAAGTCACTAACCAAAAATGACGAGTGGGAAAGCGTTCGTTGATGCGATAGCAGATAAATGTAGGTTCTCTTCGCCATCTCGTAGTCAAACTTTATACTCTCATTTTTGCAGTTTGCCTGATATTCGTGGGCTGATGTGATAATGTACTAGTAGTGCTATCATGTACATGTAGATCTACTATGGTAGTATGGGACTACATGATTGTACGATGACTATGTGGTCGTGGGTTATGTACTCTTGATACAAGATGTATACAGTTTTCAGTAGAAATTGTTCATGTTTTTTTTCTTGGCTTTTGTTTTTTTTCCGCCCGCCCGCGTACCTTTTGTTAAAATTTGCCGACGAGAAACATAGAAAAAACAAATGAAAAGGCGACGAGGAGACAATAACTTTATTAATGCGATTAATAGTATAAGTGAAGCGGACATTACAAAATGATGAATGAGAATACATGTATCTAAAATGGTTGTTCCTAATCGATTTTCTTGAGACTATCATCAGGGAAAAATCGTCTCACAATAGAGGCTATACGGAGAAACAAACTACTTATAGGTTATAGGATAGTGGGAAGTATAGAAGGTGAGGTGTGAAAAGAAAAAATGAAAGTGGGAGAGAAGACGAAAGAAATTAGAAGAAAAGATGTGAGAGTGTTCTGACGGTGTGAGCTACTACAAAAGGTGAGTGAAATGAAGGCGTGGAAGCAGGTGAATGTGATAGAGTGAGGAACTGTGAGGTGTAGGTGCATGCGAATGAATACGTGTGTGAATGCTAGGTGAAGAGTCTCAGTTTAGTGACATTTTCTTTCTGAATGCATAGATTAGGATTGTGTTTACGGATGAAAACAGCTTCTAATACCTTAAGTTCACGAAACCTACGAGCACGGCACAAAACAGTGAAGCATGAATCGTCATACACTGAGCGGCATTGGCTACTAGACAAGAGGTGTTTCTTAATTGCTGGCCCCTTCGTTGTGCTCTCACCTTCAGTCCGGTCATCTTCATCTTGGTTGTCCAACTCACTCTCGTCAGCACTGCTCCCACCTTCTTCATCCTCTTCCTCTTCCATCCCGTCCTCTGCACCTGACGACAATCCCCCGTTACTGCTCGCTGCCAGTCCATGTCCGGTTATAGATGCCATTACCAGCGCCCGAGTCATGCTCCTTGTTACTGGTCTCCGTACCTGTGCTTGGCCATTTCCTACAGTCTCACGTACCTGTGCACTTGCAGTGGGGTCAACCGGTACTGTAATAGTGTGGTTCTGTTGTGCAACTGGCACCTGTTTGTGGGGACGGCCTCGTCCAGGTCGCTGGTCTTTGGCTGCATCTGACAATAGGTACAATGGTACATGTTGTTTGACGCGTGCGTTCAGGTGCTGAAGGGTTCTTCCTACATATCGGCTATCACAATGCCGACATTCAAAATGATAGATTACATGGCTAATTAGTTGGGTAGGAAGAACATCCTTCTTCACCGTGAACGCACGGGCCGTAGTAAAGACTGTTGTCAATGCTGTGGCAAAATAGGTTTGTCTGACCACAGTCCTCACGGCGCGGGCCACATCCAGCGAAATTTGACCTTTCCACGGAAGTCGTAAAAACACACGACATGGGTCAGGTCCAAACTCAGGCTCGGCAGCCTGAATATCAGGTTCGCTAAACAGCTCACTGAGGACCTGAACAGGATATCCATTCTGAACGAATACCTTCTTCAGGAAACAAAGCTCTTGCTGAAGCTTATCAGGCGAGCAAATCCGCCTAGCGCGCATGATCAAATTTCGTACGAGATTAGTTTTGTATAAAATCGAGCAATAGGAGTCGTAGACAATGTATTGCCCGGTGAACGTTGGTTTTCGATATACTGAAGTTGAAACACCCATCTCCGTTTTCTCGACTAACACATCGAGAAAAGACAAACGGTTTGACTGCTCATGTTCACATGTAAATTTCAGAGCGGGATGTAGGTTGTTGAGCATACCAAGAAACTCATTCGATTGTTCCAGATTACGGAAATGCGTGAACGAATCATCCACGAATCTAACATATAAGCTAGGCCACATCGCACTTGGAATCTTCGATTCATAAAACCCGACAAACACATTGGCCAGAACTGGACCCAATGGTGAACCCATGGCCACCCCGTCAATTTGGCGGTACATGGTGTCATCAAAAGAAAATTCAACATCAGTTGTCATCATCTGCATTAGTCTGCGGAACGCAGTTTCGGACATCCAGGGAGAATCGAACTGTTTACTGTACTCTTTATCGTGGTACAGAGCATTAGCGCAAAGGTCAATTGTCTCCATCACGGGCACATTGGTGGGAGCAGTGATTGGTGGGAGCAGTGATGACGAGAGTGAGTTGGACAACCAAGATGAAGATGACCGGACTGAAGGTGAGAGCACAACGAAGGGGTCAGCAATTAAGAAACACCTCTTGTCTAGTAGCCAATGCCGCTCAGTGTATGACGCTTCATGCTTCACTGTTTTGTGCCGTGCTCGTAGGTTTCGTGAACCTAAGGTATTAGAAGCTGTTTTCATCCGTAAACACAATCCTAATCTATGCATTCAGAAAGAAAATGTCACTAAACTGAGACTCTTCACCTAGCATTCACACACGTATTCATTCGCATGCACCTACACCTCACAGTTCCTCACTCTATCACATTCACCTGCTTCCACGCCTTCATTTCACTCACCTTTTGGAGTAGCTCACACCGTCGGAACACTCTCACATCTTTTCTTCTAATTTCTTTCGTCTTCTCTCCCACTTTCTTTTTTTCTTTTCACACCTCACCTTGTATACTTCCCACTATCCTATAACCTATAAGTAGTTTGTTTCTCCGTATAGCCTCTATTGTGAGACGATTTTTCCCTGATGATAGTCTCAAGAAAATCGATTAGGAACAACCATTTTAGATACATGTATTCTCATTCATCATTAATGTCCGCTTCACTTATACTATTAATAGCATTAATAAATTCGGAACGACGCTTCACGCAGCTTCATTATAGCAACTTGTATTGTGGCAACACTGGCCAACACTCAGATGCACTGCTTCTTCACACAGCTGAACAATTCTTCTTTCTTCTCAACGTTTCGGTCACTCTGACCATCTTCAGGATGAAGCAGACACGGAAGCAAGGCAGACTTTAAAACAACAAGCTGGCTAGGTGCGTGCGGAATACAGCGGGGAGAACAAAACAAAAAAAACAACAACTCCCAAGCGAAAAAATGACACATGCCACATGATCGCAATAGGGGTGCTAGTCCTCCGTGTGAAAGACTAGGGCGGTGATAATTATGTACAACCTGTGCCACATGACTACAGTAGTGTGGACAGTGCCAACATAATGCTAAAGTCTAGGGTGGTGATACGTACAATTTGTGGGTGCTAATGTTTCACATGGATAGCTATCACTCCAATGAAAAAGCCAGGCAACCAGAGTTCACAGGAGATCCCAACCACTGCTGGTGTTGATATTAGGCTCCATGTCCCGGATCTTGACCGCTTCCCGAATCCTTCTCCTTGCCCTGTCTGGCTCTGTCGCAAGCACACAGACGTTGGCGAATCCGGTCTGCCCCAGCGACAATGGCTCATCGGCATGGAAGATCCGGTAATGCTCACCCAGCGCCTTCCCTCGGACCTCGTTGCGTGCATTATCGTTGTGCTCCCTTGACCTTGTCGCAACGCTTCGGCCAGTTTCACCCACATAGTCATCACCGCAACGGCACTCGAGGTGGTATACCACGTTTCGGCGGGTGCAGTCCACTGCCCCTGCTGTACATGCCACGCAAGCTGATTTCGGTCTTCCCCTTCTCCTTGGCTGCTGTGGATCAACGAATTTGCGGCATAGGGGCTTGTCCAAAGCAGACCTGCAAACCCGCGAGCTGAGCCGAGCATTCTTGTATATGATGTGGGTGTTCAGCTGATATTTGCGAATCAGATAGGGGGAAGACCGAAATCAGCTTGCGTGGCATGTACAGCAGGGGCAGTGGACTGCACCCGCCGAAACGTGGTATACCACCTCGAGTGCCGTTGCGGTGATGACTATGTGGGTGAAACTGGCCGAAGCGTTGCGACAAGGTCAAGGGAGCACAACGATAATGCACGCAACGAGGTCCGAGGGAAGGCGCTGGGTGAGCATTACCGGATCTTCCATGCCGATGAGCCATTGTCGCTGGGGCAGACCGGATTCGCCAACGTCTGTGTGCTTGCGACAGAGCCAGACAGGGCAAGGAGAAGGATTCGGGAAGCGGTCAAGATCCGGGACATGGAGCCTAATATCAACACCAGCAGTGGTTGGGATCTCCTGTGAACTCTGGTTGCCTGGCTTTTTCATTGGAGTGATAGCTATCCATGTGAAACATTAGCACCCACAAATTGTACGTATCACCACCCTAGACTTTAGCATTATGTTGGCACTGTCCACACTACTGTAGTCATGTGGCACAGGTTGTACATAATTATCACCGCCCTAGTCTTTCACACGGAGGACTAGCACCCCTATTGCGATCATGTGGCATGTGTCATTTTTTCGCTTGGGAGTTGTTGTTTTTTTGTTTTGTTCTCCCCGCTGTATTCCGCACGCACCTAGCCAGCTTGTTGTTTTAAAGTCTGCCTTGCTTCCGTGTCTGCTTCATCCTGAAGATGGTCAGAGTGACCGAAACGTTGAGAAGAAAGAAGAATTGTTCAGCTGTGTGAAGAAGCAGTGCATCTGAGTGTTGGCCAGTGTTGCCACAATACAAGTTGCTATAATGAAGCTGCGTGAAGCGTCGTTCCGAATTTATAATACGTTGTCCTTCTCAAGGACTAAGACGCCCTGGTTGTATGTGAAGTGGGCATGGAAGCTAGAGAGATGTATTTGTCAGTTGCATTTTCTACTGAGGTGCCGCAAGGAGCAGCTAGTTCCATTCTTCCTCCAGCGGTCAATACCAAAGCCAAGCGGTTATCGTCAATCCAGAACTGTCCGCCGTGACAAGTATGTGCGCTGCCTACTGAATGACGCCATCGCGGACAAGTTTCAATGGAAATCCCGCTGCTATCAGAACTTCGTCGCATTTAGAGCTGATCTGCGGCAATACACCAGGGAAGAGTTCCTTTGGCTCCGGGGCCTGTGTGACGCCGTCCGTACTGAGGAGAAAGCTAACTCTACACAGCGACTTTCCAAAAAGCTCGGCCGACTGAGGGATCAAGCAAAGGCTATGACCACAAGCCATGGACGAAGCAACATACCGTCCATGATGGGTCGCAGTACCCATGATCGGTCGGGCTCTGTTCTCACCTTGGACGATTGTATATCCCAAGAAGTCGCTGGACTACTGCAGAATGGTCCAGGGTTTGTACCGTCCACAGGCAGTGTCAGCAGAAGGGACATGGAGGATGTGGAGGTCGGCATTGAGAGGATGGCATACTCCCTTCGCTGGTGGAATAACGCAATAACCTATCCGGATGGTTCTCCTAGTGATACCCCAGACACGTTCGACAGTAAGATCTGGCATATTAAGGCGCATGGCTTCGAGCAGGGACCTAAACTACCAAAAGAAGAAGAGTTCCAACTCGCTAAGTTCAAGCGGGACGTCATGAACGCTTATCGAGCAGCTCGGGCCCCGCCCTCCAATATGTCTCAGTCGGATCGCACACAGCTAAGGAAGATCCACGAGAATAAGTCGGTTATCATCAAGAAGTCGGATAAGAGTAACAAGTTCGTGGCAATGAAAATGTCTACGTATCTAGAAAAAGCCGAGGCTCTTCTCTCCGACGATTCCAAATTTGAACTTGTCAACCTCACCATTGACGACTGGGAGAAGGAGACCCGCACTATCATTGAGCGGATCTGCAAAACCACGCTGGAGAAGGATCTTTACCAAGCTATCCTCCCAGGCGATAATAAGTTTCCGGAAATGTATGGTCTGCCCAAAGACCATAAAGCAGGAGTGCCATTGAGACCGGTAGTGTCAGCCTGCGATAGTCCAGTCACCAATGTCTCCATCCTCCTAGAGCGAATACTTAACCAGTGTCTCAAGTTCATCCCAGCTCACCTCGAGAATACAGTGGAAGCATTGGACAGCATACGCCAGCATTACCCCGACCTTCAAGCTCCACCCGGAACCATTGCAGTGACCACGGATGTGGTTGCCCTCTATCCTAGTATCCCCATCGTGGACGGTATTGAGGCAGTTACCAGAGTTCTGCAGCAGCATGTCAGTGATATCGACACGTTTGGCCTGAGTATTCTCCAGATCAAGGAGCTGCTGTCATTCGTCCTGAGATCCAATTATTTCCGTTTCGGCTCCATGACCTACCATCAGAGAGAGGGCGTAGCCATGGGTAATAATCTGGCACCCCCCTTCGCCATTATATTTATGCACGACCTCGAAAGGTCACTGTTGCAGTCTGCGCCCGGCGCTCCTGTATTGTTCAAGAGATACATCGACGACATCATCATGCTGTGGGTATTAGGATCGGCGCTCCTCTGTCGTTTTATTCAACACTTCAACGATGGTAACCCACTGATCAAATTTACCCACCAGTCCACAGAAGAAACGGGCTCCATTGACTTCATGGACACCACAATCCATGTGTCAACAACTGGAGCCATTTCATACGAGCTCTTCCGCAAACCATGTCACAGTGGCTTGGTGGCTGACTACAAATCCGCCGTTCCATATCAACAAAAGTTCTCAATTGCCTCTTCCGAATTCCTCCGTGCCTCTCAACTATCATCGGATAATGAGACGCGCCGGAGGAGTGAAAAGAAGGTCATCGACGTGCTGAAATTCAACAATTTCCCCCAATCAGTGATTGACAAGGCCCGGGAACGAGCTGGACGACCGACAGGACCCAAACAGAAAAAGGACTTTCGCACAACACTCAAGCTGCCATTCAAAACCGATCACATCCACAAGAAGGTGCAGTATCTGATTCGCAAATATCAGCTGAACACCCACATCATATACAAGAATGCTCGGCTCAGCTCGCGGGTTTGCAGGTCTGCTTTGGACAAGCCCCTATGCCGCAAATTCGTTGATCCACAGCAGCCAAGGAGAAGGGGAAGACCGAAATCAGCTTGCGTGGCATGTACAGCAGGGGCAGTGGACTGCACCCGCCGAAACGTGGTATACCACCTCGAGTGCCGTTGCGGTGATGACTATGTGGGTGAAACTGGCCGAAGCGTTGCGACAAGGTCAAGGGAGCACAACGATAATGCACGCAACGAGGTCCGAGGGAAGGCGCTGGGTGAGCATTACCGGATCTTCCATGCCGATGAGCCATTGTCGCTGGGGCAGACCGGATTCGCCAACGTCTGTGTGCTTGCGACAGAGCCAGACAGGGCAAGGAGAAGGATTCGGGAAGCGGTCAAGATCCGGGACATGGAGCCTAATATCAACACCAGCAGTGGTTGGGATCTCCTGTGAACTCTGGTTGCCTGGCTTTTTCATTGGAGTGATAGCTATCCATGTGAAACATTAGCACCCACAAATTGTACGTATCACCACCCTAGACTTTAGCATTATGTTGGCACTGTCCACACTACTGTAGTCATGTGGCACAGGTTGTACATAATTATCACCGCCCTAGTCTTTCACACGGAGGACTAGCACCCCTATTGCGATCATGTGGCATGTGTCATTTTTTCGCTTGGGAGTTGTTGTTTTTTTGTTTTGTTCTCCCCGCTGTATTCCGCACGCACCTAGCCAGCTTGTTGTTTTAAAGTCTGCCTTGCTTCCGTGTCTGCTTCATCCTGAAGATGGTCAGAGTGACCGAAACGTTGAGAAGAAAGAAGAATTGTTCAGCTGTGTGAAGAAGCAGTGCATCTGAGTGTTGGCCAGTGTTGCCACAATACAAGTAGCATTAATAAAGAAAAAACAAAGTGTGGCCCAAGGTGTAACAATGTACTTGTGGTCTGAGCTTGCACTCTGATCAGCTCTCCAGGAGGACGGTTGTCCAGTGTTGAAGAAAATTGCTTTGCAACATTTTTGAATTGCTATTCAAGTTTGATTTTGCATAGCAACATTGCTCTACAAAAGATTGAAAGTAAATTATTCCCTGGTGTGTGTGTGTGTGTGTGTGTGTGTGTGTGTGTGTGCGTGCGTGTTTGTGTGTGTATGTGTGTGTGTGCGTGCGCGCGCGCCTGTGTGTGTGTGTGTGTGTGCGTGCGTGCGGGCGGGCGGGCGGGCGGGCGGGCGTGTGTGTAGGAGGGGAGGGGGAGGGGGTGTAACTGGGAAAGAAGGACGATTTGAGATAATAGATACCTGGGAAGTTTGAAGTGTGCATGCATCCGGGCGCTAGTTATCCGTACAGTTACGGCTCACACAGACAACACCTGGCTCTAACACGTATTCAGAGCATTATCGGCATGTGTGTGAATGAGTGAGCACGGTTCTGATGCACTGCTTTATGGCATACACACAGAGCTGCAGCTGTGCGGATTGCCACAACATCCTGATGTATACAGTAGAGTGCCGATTATCCACACCCCTCGGGGCTTTCGAATGGGAGTACCGTAAAGTACCGTTGATCCGCCCCCATGCCATGTCGCTTCCCAGCTGGGTTTTCGACAGGGGGCGGGAATTAGATCAAGGCTGTCAAGTGCAGTACGATGTACAACAACGTGGAGGATCAGACTCGATGTGCTGGGTTGTGCACATTTTCATCCTGGATTGGCATGTATTGTGTACAGCATTACATGCGTTGGTTCAACATCGTATTTCGTTGTATGCGCCGAAATCGCTTCACAGGTAGAAAATTGACAGGGGACAGGAATTAGACAGGGGACGGATCAACGGTACTTTACGGTATGTTCGGATAAGGGAGCTAACACATGTACATCCCTCTGGTCCTTATCATTTCTCATTCCCT